GCATAGAAAAGGCCATCCCTTCCTTTCACGTAGGTGTCATAAGAGGCGATTAAGGGAATTTTAAAAAACAGAGGGACTGGCTAAAAAGCAGCGCTGTAAAGCTGTACACATTGCACTGGGACACTTACAGCATCAGCTGAGCCAGTTCCTTTTGCCTAATATGAGACACTTCTTGTATATGTATTTTCTGTTGTAACTATGTGTTTTCCTGGCAATAAATATTTTCTATTCTATTCTTAATGGTACTTATTGGTCGAGGGATGGACAGCGACGTCCCTCTTAAAACATCTCCAAAGTCTAACTGCGGTTGTTAACCTGCCTGCCAAGCGTGACAGCTACTGGCAAAACTCCCTAAGGGGCAGTCTTATATTTAGCAGTGGATATTAAAAGGCTGATATGATAATGATGTTGACACATATTCTCACCGACGGAACCTCCACCTGTTCGATACAACTCACGCTTGCCAACTTCTTTCTAGAATCTCTGGTTGCGATTTAATTGGCCGGCACGATGTAGACGCGCTCATCACTGCCACGTTACCGCATGCCAGTTTTGACATATTATATTTGGAGCATTATGATTTTGACACGCCTTTTGAGATGTACAACGATAAAGATGTTTGAGCAGTATGTGAGTTATGTACATGACTATTTATTTAAACTTGTTCGAACATAAATACAAAAGTGATATAATAAATAATCAATAAGGTTACCTTTAAGTAGGACTGTAGCTGGACCCAAGTTTAAGGTTGGCCGAAAGAACTTTTTGGTAAATCAGAAGCTATAATTGAGTGACTTCTAAAAAGCGAATCTGTCTAATTTTATTGGAGCCTTTCTTGTAGGGTACTGCCCCTTTTAAGGTAAAGCATTGCCTTTCAATGAATTTAAAGAGAGAAGAATAAAAGAAAGAAAGATTAACAACCAACTGCATTTCTTTTATTATAATTGTAAATATAAATGAAAATTGGACTCGTTTTAGCGCCAAGTTTCTCATTTGGGCCATTGTGCGTATGAGTCGTGGCTAGTACAGCCAGCCCAGCTCCGCCTAGAAGCACAGAAGCGTCCTGGAATCTTCACAGGACTCAAGGAGCGATTACACTCTTCTGAGGATTTCTGAAAGTTCAGGGGCTACAGCTACACATTTCAGGATTACGTGAACAGCTGTGTCTTTGGCGTCTAAACAGCCTCGACATAGAGGGCTGTCTGTGGCCCCTTATTTGTCAGTCATTAACTGTCCATTGCTGTACATAAGCGTTCCCCATAAGAAGGGGAGTTCAGCCAGTAGTTGCCACGCTTGGCAGGCAGGTTAGTAACCGCAGTTAGGTTTTTAGAGATGTTTCAAGAGGGACGCTGCTGCTCATCTCTGTAACCCCTATTGGGTATAAATGTTTATTTAAGAGGCAATGGCCCATGTAGTATTATGACTATTTCAAGTTTATAAGTGTCGATGATATTTTATATTCACGTTCTCTTTTACAACGCGTCACTCATCATTTTGTCATCACTCATCATTTTTTACGTAACATCGTAATATCGAAATTAACAATTCCATGATGATTTTCGTAATCGAATTTTATAACAAATTATTGTATTATATTACAGTAAATGCAATTTGAATGGTACGTTGTGACACTTTACAAGTATTCGTGATTTTTAAACGCCTTCGACGTAAAATTGTATAGTTTAATTTTTATAACTGAATCAGGAAAGTGTAGTAATATCTTGATTTTATTTACTTGCATTTTTTGTTGCTTTCAATCTTTTTCTTCTACTTCTTTCTTTAATATATAAAATAATTTTAGTTTGCACATGACTAAAATATATAGAATAGAATAGAAAACATTTATTGCCAACAATTACAATAGAAAATATAGAAAATACATATATAAAATATTCTTTATAACTGGTGTGTACAATAAAGAATTAAATTAAATTAAAAAAGTGCCCCATACTAGGCAAAAGGAACCGGCTCAGCTGATGCTGTGAGCGTCCCAGTGCAATGTGAACAGCTGCACAGCGCTGGTTTCAGTCAGTCGCTCTCTTAACAATATACAACAGAAATACAGGGTACTACTGTAATTGCCTTATACAATAATTATTTCTTAGATAATATACTATAATGATGTTAACTATACAATCAATCCAATATTCTGACCCTCAGATTAGTATAATTTTTTAAGTTAGGATTGTGTTAAGAGTGACACCCGAGTCCATTGAGAAAAGTTCCTTTCCTAAATCAGCCTAACCGGGAATCAAACCCAAAACCTCATTTACGCAAAGCTTTTTTTTTTATACAACTTAGAATGGTAAACAAGCTGACAGCCCACCTGATGGAAAGTGGTAACCGTCGCCGATAGACATGAGCGGTACCATGGACATAACGGAGTATACTGTTTCGCCCATGATACTCCCCATGCGTTGCCATTTGCCCGCATTTCTCCGGGCATAATTTTTTTAATAGATGATAATGGAATGATAACACTGTCTAAGCTAACGACATAAACTGGCGGGGTACCGATAGAGAATGATAGGTGAAGATGAAAAATGAGTCAGTTGATCTATCGTGATGAATACATCTGGATATCAGCACGATTGTTTCCATGGGGGACCACGTGAAGATCGACCTGACGGGGTATATTGCTAGCAAGGGACCGGTGTTCGCATTACGAGCAACTTACTCCCTCCCCTCCCCGCCGTGCATATTAGAATCAAGTACGACAAGGAATGAATCTACTGCCATCACTCGCATTAATTTATATTTGTTAACGGTGTTTTTTTATCAGCGGAACAATAGTTGAAAATTTCAATTTGCTGAAGAAATTTATTATATGGTTAAACCTAAATTAAGGTGCTTAATCTTTATTGTAACTTCTTTCTTGTATTATTATTATAAAGTGTAAATTAATAAATAAAAAAAAATGTTGTCAACCCGATTCAAACATACGACCTTTTTTGGGGGGAAAGGGATTGTTAGTAATGGAGACTGGGAATCCCCTTGCTGGCAATATACCCAACCAGGTCGATCTCCTCGCGGTTCCCCCTGGAAACTATCATGGTTAATTCCTGATGAATTCATCATGATGGGCTGACTGGCCTGTTTTCATTCTCATCTATCACCCTTCACTAGTGCTCCGCCGGCGTATCCCGTTAGCGCGGGCGGGGTTACCATTCCATTTTCACCCAACAACAAAAAAACATACGACCTTTGCGGTATAACCCGGGACAATACCATTGGGTTCAATCAAAATTTACTGTTACTTTATTTATTACGCAACTCTAATAGCAAGTATATGTATATATGTATGTATGTGTACAATAAAGAGCTTACTGTATATTTACAAACAACCTCTGGGTCGCAGGTTATTGCCCTGCGCGACACGTAGGTGTCGACGTAGACCGACTGATCGTAAAGCCATACCTGTCCAGATTGCGACTAAACACTCCATTCACGATACGATTAATCGTCGAAATTATTTTTTATTACATGATTGCTATAAAAAGTAATGTCGCCAGGGTTCGTGTAAATGATGTAAGTTCCTTCATTCAACCATGACTTCTAAATACTTGATCTTATTTTGATGTATGGGATATTGTCAGAATCCTTACACTATCCAATTACACCATCCATGTAGGAGGAGGGAGGATGGAAGGGATTGTTAGTAATGCGGACTGCCAGTCCCATTACTAGCAATATACTCTGTCAGGTCGACCTCCACGTGGCCCCTTGGAAATCATTGTGCTGAAGTCCAGATATATTCATCACGATGGGCTAACTGACCTGCCTTTCCTTAATTTGTAGTGTCGAAAACAAGTTTAATTTGGGAATATTTATCATTAGCTCACAATTCTTTTCATTTAAGACTCTCTTGACTCTCGTCAGTGAAACTAATTCATGCATTCTCTTCCAGCCCGTTCTATCCCAGGCCATATCTTTGACCTCTCTATACGACATGACACCAAATATTTCCTTTATCTGTCCTATCTAGTTATTTTTCGGTCTTCCCCTTCTTCTTTTGCCCTCTATTGTTCCTTCTACTATGCTCTTTAAATAATCGTCATATCGTATAAGGTTACACAATATTTCGCTTCTTCTAATCTCTTTTATTTTTATTAATGTTCTTTTCTCATTTACCCTTTACAAGACTTTCTATTTCGTTACTTTTTCTGTCCTGATTATATTATATAAATATAAAATATCGTTACGAGATTATTTACATTAAAACATATTTATAATAGATATTAATGTCACCTTAATGTCGTTTAAAGTCGATAATTATGTACGAAACAAAAATAAAAGTCTTGGTAATTAGTATATCTAAATCTATAAATCTGAATTAATTTGAATATGTAGATCAGTAAGGACACAGTACCTGTTTCTTGGAGCAATGATAGTTGAAATGTCATCATTAAATAAATATAAATAAAGAAATATAATTTTAGAACTATTATATAAAATATACATATAATTATTGTTATTAGAAAAAGATTATTAGTCCACGACACAAGGCTAGTAAATATAAGTTATTGAAATTGTAAATTATATAAATAATTTATTTTCGTCATTATACAGAACATAAATAACATAGCATGTTGGTACATATTCAAAAAATAAAATAAAGGAATACATATTAAAATAAAAAAGGAAAATATATAAAAGAGTTAACATAATTATTCGTGAGTATAACACAGTAACACAAAATGGTCACAACTCAGTTTATTGAGTTGAATTAAACTATATATATATATATATATATATATATATATATATATATATATATATATATATATATATATATATATATATATATACTATTAAAATATATTATTTTAATAATTATAATATAATATAAGTATAAATATAAAATAGACATATTAGAGGCTATTTGAAGTTATAATAATGATCTTATTTCCTTTTTTGGTTGTCACTTTTTATTATGCAGTAAAATTTTGATTACGTCTGATTATGTTATAAGTATTATAGAATGCATTATTATTTTTCAGGTATGTTTATGGCCGGCTTTATATAAACTGTCACAGAGACGAGATTCACAAGAAGAATCGCAGTAAGTGTCTATAAAATTTACATGGAATCACAGTTTACCAGTAGCGCATCGAATATTATCAAAACTGACTGAGAGAGCGACTACAAAGTTGCATTATTACATATTTATTTATTTATTTAACTCTTTATTGCACCAAAAATTTAAAAAGCATACAATAACAATTAGAAAATCCAATTAAAACACAGTAGCATAAAGTACAGATCAAAATATAGACATAAAAATACAAAAAGCGGTCTCGTCGTTGAGACAATCTTTTAAAGATAACTTTAGTTCATCATCATCATCGTCATTATCATGTCAGCCATTAAATGTTCACCGCTGAACATAAGCCTCCCTCTTAGGGGGATTTGCCAGTAGTTGCCACGCTTGTAAGGTGGGTTAGCAACTGCAGTCAGGCTTCAGAGATGTTTAAGAGGGACGCTGCTGTCCATCCCTCGTCTTCCCTTAGTTAGCTCTTACGACACCCACGGTAAAGGAAGAAGTGGCCTATTCTATGCCGGGACCATAACCTTAGTTAGTCTTAAATAGGTACCCACGTAAATCACTAGATGGAGTGACGACTTGAAATGCATTGCAGAGAGTCAGTGGATGCAGGTGGTTCAGGACCGTTTTTTATGGCAGTCTATGGGGGAGCAGCAGTGGACGGATAATGGCTGAAATAACGATGATAATGATAATACGTAAATCTAATACGCTTGATGAAATATAGGAATATCGAGGGAAATGTATATCACAACGGTAAAAGTCCACTAATGCCTTTTGGTTATTAGTGATTACATTTGAGACATTTAAAATAAAAAAAATACAATAAATTTCATTTTTATTTTATTTTATTTGAATAATATCAATGAGATCATATTATAATAACCCGTATTAAGAAAGAAATGTAGTCGAAATTCAAAAACACCGAAACGTAATTTGTAGCACGCGCTATCAATACATGTTTATCTTGATTAGACAAAATATTTTATTATAACATCTGACAGAAATAAATATTAATATAATTTTATTATGTCGATCATTTACCTAAGAGTCATTAGATTGAACGGATACACATAATGTTCGATCTATTTATATAGCGACCGTCTGGGTCAGTGACTTTTTTATATTTCAATTAACATCCGCATATTAAAGAAACCTAATATTTGTTGATGACTTACATAAATTGGTCGTTTATTTGTCTAGTGTGTGATACACAAAAGTCCGATTAATAAAATTTATAAATTATTTATTATATATATAATTATTACTACATTATATATATAATTATTGCTATATTATATATATAAATATTACTATATTATATATATAATTTATAAACAGAAACAATTAATTTGAAAATAAAACAATTTAACGGATTTCTGGACTCATATTTAAGTTTTGCATATTATTACATTTGTTTGCGTGATAGACTCCGAAATGTGTGTATAAAGTGTTGAGTGTAATTGGTACTTAGCATACGCAGTATAGAGCAACCCGCTACTAGATGGAGTGACGACCTCAAATACATTGCAGGGAGTTAATGCAGGTGGCTCAGGATGGTTCTTTATAGTAGTCAAGGAGGTCCATGTCCAGCAGTGGACAGATAATGGCTGAGATGATGATATGATGACATTTTCACATAATTATTTATCTCCAGGAACTACAGTTTCTGGTGTCAAACTTTACTTTCAAATATACTTAATTTGAGCATTTCCATATTAAGAGCGTTGATTTAATCGATTAGAATTAAAACTTAAAAAACAATTGGACATTTAAACTGTTGTATTTATAATCGATTTTTTAAAAGGTCGAACTAAAACATTAATGGCAAAACGAGATTGTTGTTAAATTATAACTGAGAATTTAAAATGTACTAGTAAAGAATATTTAAAAACTTTAGAAGATGGAGAGTTTTAACAACTAATCGACGCACCCATAATTGCAACTGCTAAATTTACTAAATAGAAATTGAACTTCCAAATATTTCATATTTATTCAACACTAGCGGCCCGTCCCGGCGTCGCACGGGTGGACATTTTTACATCTTAAAAAGTGGCCATTAAAGTTGCACACGCGACGGGAGTTTAAAAATGGAGTAACTTCTCCCGTTTTCCCAACATTTCCCTTCACTGCTCTGCTCCTATTGATCGTAGCGTGATGAAAAGCTATAGCATATACTATAACCTGCCCAGGAGTATGAAGAATAATTGTACCAACTTTCGTAAAAATCCGTCGAGTAGTTTTTGTTTCTATAATGAACTTACAGACAGATAGACAAAAATTTTACTGATTGCATTTTTGCCATCAGTAACGATCACTAATCACTCCCTGATAGTTATTTTGTAAATATATTTCATGTACAGAATTGACCTCTCTACAGATTTATTATAAGTATAGAAGATAGATTAAAAATTATATGCATAAATGTAATGAATATTTTATATAATCAATATTTAAAACATTCATCGAGATGACATTTCGATGAATTTTTATAATTTATCGAATATCGATTATAATAATAGGATTGAAACATTGTCGTTCATGATGAGAAATCACAATTCAAATTTTATGATAATTCATTCTCATACGACTATTTATCATGACATTTTATAACTAATAATTGACAACTAAGTCTAGACAGGAGATTCGGAACGCTGTAATTTTGTGAAATAAAGAATCGTTTCGAGGAAATCAGATGCAAATTGCAACTACAAAAATCTAGATAGATAATGATGTATAAAAAATTGAGGATTTTTTTTTTGTACGACTTAGAATGGCAAACAAGCTGACGGTCCACCTGATCGACAGTGGTAACCGTCGCGTATAGACATGAGCAGTACTGTGGACGTAACAGAGTATACTGTTTCGCCCATGATACCCCCCATACGTTGCCATTCCTGAGGACTCAGGTGTTATTCCTCTGTACCCTGTAAATTCACGCTATATCACACCCTTGACGACCGAAACACAGCCACGAAAACACAACTGCTTCACAGTAGAAACACGAATGGGACAGAAGTACCCAAGCAATCGACTTTTGTACAAAGTCTCCCTCTGGTGGAAATAAATAGTAAGTAAAAGAAACAGACACTTTTTTTCGCATAGAATAGGGTTAACGATTTCTTAAAACATCACCAAAAGTCAAACTGCGATTGCTAACTTGCCTGCCAAACGTAGCAAATACTAGCAAACCCCTCTCTTCATGCCCAAAGGAATTAATAAGTTATTTAAAAAGATAAAAAAGTAGTGGCTCTTAATATCCTAACTGCATTGTAATATAAATCAAATCATCGAGTCTGTACGTGCAAACTAGCGAATAGCTCACTAATGAAAACCTCGTTTAGTACCAGTCATTACAGATAAACTGTATGTCCGTCTGCTATCTCTAATTACCAGTAATATTGCGGTAATAAAGTGGATCGGTTAAATCTTATATTAAAGCGTACATTGTTCGAGAATACGTATTAAATGATATCTTAAAATGTTAGGAAATAATAGGCATTTGAAAATTTTATAATGCATGAAATAAATGGTAAACTATCCATACATTTATTTTATTGCGTTTATTTTCAATAAAATAATAGTTAGATGGATAATTTATTTGCATCACTTACAGCACACAAATTACAACATATATAGATATACACAAAAAGCGAGATAACATAAATGATTAAAAAATACATAGAGCTAAATACAATTTTTCGTTTGTGCGTTTGCCATAACAATACAATTAGGTCACAACTCAGTTTATTGCTTCGCCCTCAAAAGAGCAAAGCACTGATATCCTGTTGCAGCCAAAGGGAATAGGGCAACAATAAAACAATTATTACAATAATAAAATAATTATTAATTAATTCAAGTATATTATTAAGTATTTTTATTAAGTATATTATCATATCAGCCGTTATAAATAATATATTTGAATAACTGTGAAAAGGAATGACACCTGAGTCCTCAGGAATGGCAACGCATGGGGGGTATCATGGGCGAAACAATATACTCTATTATGTCCATGATACTGCTCATGGCTATAGGCGACGATTACCACTTTCTATCATGTGGACCCTCAGCTTTTTTGCCATTATAAGTTGCAAAAAAAAATGTACTTAAGAATATGTATCACCTATTTAATATCTACTTATTTTAAAATATAAAAAATACAGTTAATTTTAATGAGAAGTGATACAAAAGGCCTTAGCTGTGTTTGAAACTAAACAACACTATGTAATGACTTTTTATCATCATCATGCTGATATTTCAGCAATGATTTGCAATTTAATTCCTACTTCTATGTCATTCAGTGACAATTTTTCAAATATACTGCAAAAGTCCAAAAACATCAGCTGTTATTTCTACAAAAAATATCACGTCCTTAATTTAAAAGAAAAAAAAAAGATATTCCCATAAACAAAACGCTCGCCACCGTTTTGCGTAATAGATCACAGTGTCATACATCAAACTCATTGTCTCTCATACAAATAATTTATTACAGCCGCGTTCTGAAACCAGTTCGAGAAATTGACTTCTGGTTTTGTACTTCATTGTTTGTTTAAGTGGCGTAATATTTAAATAATGGAGTTAAACTTTTAAAAAAAAAAGGAATCACTTAACCCTTCAAATGTACTCTATATAATAATGGCGTTTATTGTTTAAACCGGTTTCGATGGGACTTTTGTTATTATTTACATGAATAAATTGGGGTACGCTTGTAAGTCAATACATTTGTTTATTAGGGCTACATCTCTATTACTGAACGGGTTACTGTACGAATGATAAAATCAACACTAATTATTAATTCAGATTAAACTCTTTTCTAGTGCTTGTTAAGAATTTTTAACTAACATCAAAAAAAGGAGGTTTTCACTTCAATATATTTATATTTTTAAATTTGTCAATATATATATATAATTAAAGATTGTGTCCCGAAAAAAATGACATTAATTGTGACAAAACTAGTTATTTCGATTTAAAAACTAAACTACTAAACCGATTTCGATAAAATTTCTAAGAAACTAATC